TACTTAGCAATAAATCGTCGTATTGTGGTGGGGTCACGCTTCATCTTTCTTGCAATTTGTTCAGCGTTCATATTCTCTATATATGCTAGTATTTTTCCCTTCTCCATGTCAGTCATCTGGATGTCATAATCACATAAAAATTATTTATTATAGTGTTTTGGTGAAGTTGACGAAGAGATTAACATAAAAAAAACATTATACATGGCGTTTCCCCTTTTTTAAAGTTATTGATCTTGTTACACATACAGATCGGGCGTTACTTTTTGAGGCGACTGTACATACTATTCTGTTTTGAAAATCAATAGATCAGATAATCATAACAATATTTTGTTAAGATTGAAAATATCACATAACATTAAGGAATGATAATTATTTCAGATGATCAATCTTTAAACTTTGGATACGTTTTATTATAAATTATTCAATTTATTTATCATTTCAGATAATTTAAACTTTGGATACTTTATATTATAAATTGCTCAATTTGTGTTTCTTTGGATACCGGACTAAAAAGAATATAGCGATATCAAAGAACCGATTTATTGTTGTATGATAAGATGATCAAAACTTAAACTCTGGATACGCTATATTATAATCACACAATTTATGTTTCTTTGGGTCCTGTTTTCATGTCGAACTAAAAGAATATAACAATATCATATGTCTTATTATAAATTATACATTTCCAGGAGGAAAGTCCGATAAACAATTTTCACCTTGTGAATGTTTGTTAGATTATAATATAATGTTTGTCATTATTATCGAACATTAGTTATTCCATAATAACTAAAAGTCATAACATTTAAGAAAAGTTGAATCTATTTTTTCGTAAAAATTTTAATCGTATATATTAATTAGAAACAAAAGGAAACTTGCACTTTTAGAAAATGGTTATTTTGTACCTCATCTATAACTCTGGATTAATTTGCTTTGAATTGTCTTCAACACAACTTTCTTTCTCCATCTCGTTTAAATTTGGTCCCAATATTCAGATGTCATCAAACCAGATTTCTTTATAGATTGACCAAAACCCTCTTTTTTCAAGTCATTTAACGTTTAAAAGAAGTTCATTCGAATTATTTATTCATCATCGTCAATAATTTGTTTCCTTCTTTTATTAGATTGTCGATTTCTTTATCTCCGCTAGACAATTCATCGTTATAAATTCTTTTGTGATAATTGAAACTTCCAACGCAAATGTAATCATTTCTTGACAAATATTACATTTACCTATAATCATGAGTATTGTGAGCTAAACACTTGTCGTAGTATTCATCTTCTTGACAAATAGTACATTCAATACAATGATGAGTATTTGATTCATAGTTGAGTTCACATTAGATTGACATATTAATATGAACACAAATTGCTCAAACGAGTACTAACTTCTTGAACATTTTGATCCCAAATATGACATATTACACCATGCACAATTTTTTTATTTTTGATTATAACGTAACGAAAAATAAATTTATAATGTTTTTTGACATTTTAATGAATGTAATTTAATTTTTTTTCTTTAATGTCGAGATATTTAAATTTCGTCATTTTCTTACGATTTCGAATGTGAGCCACTGTATATATTACCGTATTTCAACGAAAACCAATTATAAAATTACTCGGATTATTTAAATCTAATTATATTATAAATTACAAGATGTACACATAACATACATAAATCCCAATGCGGGTGCGCATATGGGTGTATTTCGAGAATATATGTTATTTTTAAGGGAAATAACACCCATGTCCGTTTTTCCGCGAACATACGGCATCAATTATCAGATATTCATTAAAATCATTCATCATGACATTTCAAACTAAACGCCGGGATATTTTAGCATAAATTTCGATTTCTTATAAAATTATTTATAATTTATTGCTTTAAAAAATTACGTTCTAAAACTTAAAAACTTTATCAGATTATATGAAATCACGATATAATAAAAGATAAATATGCATATATAAGATTTAATAATGATTGATTCACTTTTCAAAGCTATATAACTAGCATGAGTATCTACCCCTTTATAAAACAAAATACAAGTTCAGAATATCTCTTATACTCACAAATCAAATATTTCAACAAAATGAAATTCTTTCTAGCCATTATCTTTATTTTCTTTTTTATTGAAGCATTCGTCGATAATGCAACGTCCTTGCCAACATCATGCAGTCTCAAAAACGAAATAAAATCTGCTAATAATCAAAACGAACTTCCATTATCGAATTCTTACCACGTTGATACGCCATCAATATGCGGTTACAAAAACGAAATAAAATCTGTTGATAATCAAACCGAACTTCCATATTCTAATTACATGTATGCTGATGATGCTATCCAACATATAGATCTAGATCCCAATGAATCTGAATACGGTAATTTCAAAACTTTCTATTTCCTATCTATATTTCTTTGCTTAGCAGAATGTTCATTATATTTCTCTAATACTCTATAAATAGAAACTTTGTCTGAAATTGAACCAGAACAATATCATCATCACCTTTATGACCATGATGATGGTCACCGCCGCTATTATGACCATGATGATGGTCACCGCCGCTATTATGACCATGATGATGGTCACCGCCGCCATTATGATCATGATGATGGTCACCGCCGCCATTATGACCATGATGATGGTCACCGCCATTATTATGACGGTGGTCGTCGTCACTACGATTATGATTATCATCGTAGGGGATATCGTAGGGGAGACTATAGTCGAAGAGGCTTTGAACGTCGCATGGATTTAGAATTGTGATTTTTATAGCGAATTTTATATTACTTAGAAATTTAATGATAGTAGGAGCTTTATAATAAATTTATCAATAAATTGATTGTGAACATAAAGGTTTAGTTATCCGATTGGAATTTATTTTAAGGAATTTTAATATTTTAAAATAATGCATAGCCATTCATCGCATCATATGCTCATGTTTAATTTTAAATATCTATATATTTTTTGGATTACATAATTACATAATTTGGATCCATTCGTTCTTTATTTTAGAGATTGGGTATCTTTATTGTTTTTTATAACTTGTAAATAATGACTATAAACCATATGCATGATTAGCACGTATCGGGAATACAATACTTTCATACTTTCTGATAACGATAAAGATTTTTTTATCTGACATCTATTCTTGCGCTGCTATTAATTTATACAAATATTAATGGAGTTAATACATAAGAAGGAGGAAGAAATATTTTTATATAAATTAAATATTATAATAAAAAAAATATATCTTTTATTATAAATTAATAAAACTTGAGAAATAGAATATATTTTTTTTGGCTGATATTTTAATGAATATTGATAAATTAAAATAAAGTTTCAAATATATCTTTATTTTACAAGATTTTTATAAATTTAATAATATTATTTGATTTTTATAATACTCTTGTTATTTTTTATTAAATAATAAATAATAAATATAATATTAAAAAATTATAATTAAAAATTTATATTAATATTAATATTTACTTTAAAACTTTTAAAGATTATTTATAATATTTACAAAATTTTTTAGTAAATTAGTAAAGTAAAATTAAATTAAATGTAAAAAAATATAATTTATAAGAAAAAATTTATTATTCTTAAGTTATATAATAATTAATTAAAATATTATAATAAATTTATTTACTATTAAGAATTTTTATAATTTTATTTATTTTTTGAATTAATAGATTATTATTAAAAATTTATCAAGAATTTTTTACAGATTATTATATTATTATTTTATCTATTAAAAAATATTATTAATTTTAGTTAAAAAAAATAAAAAAATATCTAAGAAATTCAAAAGATAACTAATCTTAATTCTGATTTTGATATATTTATATTTCTTTCAGAAGTTCTACTTATATATAAATATTTTTGTTATAAATTTAAAATAATATTATTATAAAAGAATAATTAGAATTAAGAATATATATTAGTATTTTATTTAAGATAAAAAAAATATTATAGTATTATAAAAAAAGTATTAGTTATTATTTAAAAAATAAGATATTTTAATATTATTTTCTTAGAATTCTTTTTAAAATTATTACTAATTATAATATATTTATTAATTATTTATTAAATAAATTAATTCTAGTTCACAAATTTTTTATTAATTAATAATAATATTGAAATATATATTTATTTTCTCTTATTATTCTAAAAAATTTAATCAAAATATAAATATATTCTCCTATATTAAATTTTTATACTAAAAATAAATTAAATTAACTGATAATATTTATAAAAACAAATAATAAAAATAAATATTTATAATAATTTATTATATTATTTAGAAAATAGAAGTTATTCTATAGGATATATAAAGAAATAATAATAATAAATCAAGAATTAAGCAAAATTTATATAATATAAGAAGAATTATTATATAAAATTAATAGAAATAAAGAACTAAATAACTCTTTATAAGTTTTAAAAATATAAAAATAAAAATTATTATATTTATATATATAAAGATTTAATTTTAAAATATTTTATATATGAAGAAACTTATTAATATATTATTATTTATTATTAATAAACTAATATAAAAAGTAATACATATAATTTTATAAAGTTATATCAGATCTATTAATAAATCAGTAAATAAAAACTCAACTAATTACTCTTATTTATTAAAATTAAGATATTTTTTAATTGAATTATGATTAATCTATTTAGATTTTATAAATTAATAGCAAATAGAAATTAATATATTATTATAATTATTAATTATCTTATAAAATAACTATAAAGAGATATTAAAAGTATTGTATACTTTTATTTAGTAACAAAAAAAATTTTATTAAAATAATAGTTAATTTTATTTTATATTTGAAATTAGTACTTTAGTATTTTGTATATCTTCTATTAGTAATAATCATAGTCTGAATTTTATTTGACATTAATCACATCAAGTCATAATATATTTTTTTGAAATTGCTTCTCAAATATCTTTCATTATCTTTTCAAGTTCACTAATACTTGAAGATTAAGAATTATATTTTTGAATTTTTACTTCAATCATAATCTATAAGTTTTTAATTGGCTTGAGATCAGAACTTTGGATAGGCTATTGAAATATCACTATATTTTGAAAATAAAGAAACTCTTATGCAATCTTTGATATATAAACTAATATATTATCTTTCTAAAAAATGAATTTTTTTCTGATTTGCCAGGAAAATACTTTAAGTATAAAAATTGTATAAGTAGAAATTATCATTTTATATATATTTTCAATTACTAAATCTTTAAATAAAACAATAAGCCCTAATTTTAAAAGAAAAAATATATCCAAAATATTTTTTGTGAAGAATATTTTACTATTAATATAATATAATCTTCATAAAATTTCTCTTCTAACTTTTTTTACACTCTTTTCCAATCAAATTTTTAAAACTATGAAAATGTAAACTTATCTGATTAGATTATCTTTTTTCAATCTTCTAAAGTCTAATATTTTCTTTCTATTATCCAAGCAAGTCATTTGAATTTGTTGATTGCTGAAATTAAAGATTTTTTTAAGAAATACAAGAATGTAAATTTTTCTTTTGAAATGTTCAATAAATTAATACAAATATTTTTTTATTAATTTTAGCAGAATATATATTAGCAATTTCTGCTAGATTTTTTTGTCTTTTTTTCTTGTATTTGAAAACCATAGTCTTTAGTCTTTATTTTTTTTAACTATTAATCAAGCATAATTAACCTAATTATTTTTTGAAAGATTCTTCTGATTCATAAGTTACAAGATATTTTGTAATTATTATTTAATTATATTCTATAACTTTTGTAATTTCTATATTATTATGATCTAATTTTTTAACTATAATCCTTTTTTTTATATAGAAATTAATTCTTTATCAAGATCTATTATGTAAAAAATTGAAAATAATAGAAAATTTTAAATTATATTTTATAATCTGTAAAAGATTAAATCAAAATAATAAATAATAATCCATTTAAGTAATATATAAACAAATATGATACAAGAATCACATAAACAGTTATATATTAATAATTTATTAAATTAATTAAATTTGATTATATAATACTTTTAATACTTCTTGTAAATTAATTCATTAATATAATTATTCTAAGAAAATCTAGTTAAATAATAATTAAAAATTTATTATTTTTATTATAAGATTATTTATTAAATAATTTAAATATATATATAAATATAATATGAATAGTTTTAATTTATAAATTTATAATTTTATTATTTAAATAATATTTAGATCTAAGATAAAAATATAGAATAAAAAGATATATTTATAAAAAAAATAAATTTAAAATATAAATAAATTATAAATAATTAATTAAATAAGTTGTATATAATT